CAAGTTAATTCTCAGTTGTGTCAGCAAGGGTGGACAGTGATCTCATTGGAGCACCGAGATGCTCAGTATGAGCCAGATGGAAACGTGGCCCAAGGAATGACAGAAGTAATCACAGCTGATGGAGATGAAGTCTGTGTGCACCAGAGGCTAGTGGTAGAGGCTGGGAAGAAATGAGCATACTAGATTAGGCAGGACCTCAGAGGATACTGATTTGAATATTTCCTAAAGATGATGAAGCATTGTAAAAATAACCTCAGCCAGGAAGAACACCACCAAATTGCAGCGCAGGAACAAACCATGGCAGAAGGGTGTAGGGCGAGTGAGCCAGGGCAGTGCTGGTCACAAGGATGACAGGTGAAGGCTGTTGCGAGCCAGGAACAGAAGGTGGGAATGGGAGTGCTTAGCGTAAAGTGGTAAACCCACCAAAGAGGATTACTGTTTGGTTCTAACTCTTCCCACTTGGCTCTAGGCTGCTTTCAGGTTTTCACCATTGTAACTGAGGTGGCGCTAGACATTCAGGACTTCACACCCTTTGCTGTGCTAGACCACGCCACCAAAAGTAGGAATACCAGGCTAACGGCATGGTTATTTTTAGATTAGTTGAAGTTTGAGGTGTGTTCTTTCAAACACTTCTTCTCTAAATATTTTCAATATATTTGCCTCCCTTTTTCTTCAAAAAATACACTTAAAGTAGCTGAAGCATAATCTTTCCTTTTTGACATAGTCTTACAAATTTAATAATCACCAGTTGTGTTTTCCATTATTTGCAGTAGGTCAAAACACAATGTTGCTCCTTTTGTTTGCTTACTTTTCCAAGTATTCTCATTATGAACAAAATCAGCACGTTTGATAACCGCACTAATGATTGTATCTTAAACTACCATTAATATACAGAGGCCAAAACAAAAATTTTTTAAGTAGTAACATTAAAAACAAAATTAAAAGTAAATGAATAAAGGCAGTGATATTTAGAATTTAAATAACACTGATTACTATGTTGAAAGGGAAACTATTAGGTAAAATTAGGGTGTAAATTTTTAATGCTTGATAGAATTCTTTTTGGTTAGCCTTTTAATTTGGTTAAGCCACTGAGTAGAAATGCAAAACAAAATACTTAAATTATATAAACAAATTTCAAATGAAATTCTATGATGAGAAAAGGTGAATTATGAAAAGGTCTTGTATTATAAAACATTCTTTATGGCGGTCCCACTGTGTGAGGCCAAAGAGCCATAGAAGCGTAGCACATAGTGAGACAAGCTGCTTGGGTAGAAATGCCAAAGAGATCAAACTAACCAGCTGTGACAGAATTTTGTCTAACTGAACATGAAGTAAATTTGTATGTTTTATCATGTGAGCCACATAAAATTGTATATCTGTGTTTATACTTAACAGTTCTTCCAACCCAGTTTACTTCCTGTTCTCTCTATATTCAGCTCAAATGTTCCCATTTCATTTAGAAATAAAAATGATTAATGTACAGTATGTATGTGTCATTCCCTAAGATGCATGTAATTACTACATATTCATGCACATACCAGTGTAAACAAGAAAAATAATGACAGCATCAGGGTAAGGTCCAAACAAGACTTACACTGGTTGTCTGTCCCTTCTGGGGATTCTTAGACAGCTTCATGTGTTGTATTGGCTTTGCATCCCTGTGACAAGATGCTTGAGAAAATCAGCTTCAAAAGGAAGCTTATTGTTGTTTCAGAGGCTTTTGGCCTCTGTGGCTTGGCTCCATCACCGTGGGACTGAGATGAGGTGACCATCACGGTGGGGATTGTGGGTCCTGCAAGGCTTTTCAGCTCCCTGTGCCAGGAGGGAGCAGGCAGGAGGCAGGCAGGGGAGGGTGTGTAGACAGGGCTTGCCCCTCAATCCTTCTTTCAGACAGGCTCCACTCCTACAGTCCCCAGCACCTCCCAAGAGCACCCCAACTAGGGATCCAGCCTTCCCTGTGCCAGTCTTCTGGGTACATTTTTGACCCAGACTGTGATGCATGCCCTAATCCCTCTGTTGGATTTCACCAGCTCCTGTGCTCAAATCTCAGATGCTTAGACAGGAGATTGGAGCCTGGCCCAGGAAAATGCCTCTGGGCTGGTCAGGAGTCCATGGAGTGACCCACAGCCAAAATCCTCCCCCACGATGCTTAGGCTTACTGGTGCTGGGTCAGGGTGACTGTAACTAATGTGGGTGCCATCGGGCACTCCTGGTCTAGTGCAATGGCACAGCTAGGAACAGCTGCACAGCTGACTGCTTGTTGATTACAAAATACTTCTAGACTAATTGGTAAAGGATTGAGTTGCTGAAGAGAGCCTGTGGTCCCCTTCCGAAAGCACACACATCCAACAATGCAACTCAAACCAATCAACCCTCTGGCCGTCTTGCTGTCCTGTTCCCCTGGGGCCTTTTTATTTCTCCGCTATTGGTCAGCCAGACGAAGAGTCTACACTGGCCTCTCTGGGGTTTTCTCAGACTTTGCCCATGGTCTCTGGCACCTGCATTCAACAGTAGAGGGGCGTCATTCACTGACTGTGTTTATTAAAGATGGTTTACTCACGTGGGGCTCTGGTACTGTTTGGTTGGCTTCAAATACTATCTCTACCAGGTAGGAGATTTGGGGACTCAGTAGTCTCTTTTATCTTGGTTTTCCTCATCTAAAACGTATATGGTAACGTATTTATTTCAAAGGATTGTTTTCCGACTGATCAATCCAGGTAAAGCATTTAGAAGAGAACTGATACATGGTAGATGGAATAAGTGTTCATTTCTTTGTTCACTTTGTTAATGGTTGGGTGCTTTAATTATCACTTGCCTTTCAGGATCCCACCAGGTGACTGCAGGGGAAAACAAGTAGTCAGCGTGTGATGGCACATGCTTGTAATCTCTGCACTTGTCAACATGTAGTAAAAAAAAAAAAATGATTTTTTGAGATAGAGTCTCATTGTGTGGTTCAGGCTGGCCAAACTCTTTTGGCAAATTACCCTGAAGGAGAACAGCTGAGTAAATGGAACCTCTAGTTTTCATTTTTTGAGGAATCTCCACACTGATTTCCGTAGTGGTTGTCCCAACTTATACACCCATCAAGAACGTAGAAGGGTTCATTTCTCCTCCGGCAGCCTCACTGGCTATCGTTACTGGTTGCTTTTTTGATGACAACTGGAGTGAGATGTAAGTGAGAAGCATATCCATGTTTATAACAGCACGATTGGTAATAGCTAAATCTTGGGAGCAACTTGCATGTCCATCAACAGATGAATACATTTCAAATGTGAAGTACTCCTCTACACAAAGAAGGATAGATTGGAGACCTTTGTAAGAAAATGGATGCACTATGACACCATAAAATTAAGTGAAATGACTCAGACACACAGGATTAAATATCAAATGATTTCTCTTACAGACAAAGCCCACATATAAATAAAGTATAAAATAAAAGATAGACAATACAAAGCTGTAATAATTCTATATTGGCCATTCAAGAGATGTGAATTAAAACAATGGCCAGTGACATGGACTATTTTCTCATGTATTTATTAGACATCTGAGAAGTGTTTTTCTGAGAAGTGTTCATTCATTTTTCAGGTGCCTATTTTTGTTTGCTCTTTTTTTTTTTTTTTTTAAACTTTTTATCGGTACCAGGGATGGAACTCATGACCGCCTGCTTGCAAGGCAGGTGCTTACGCTGCTGAGCTAAATCCCCAGCCCCAGGTGCCCATTTTTAAACTGAATCTTTAAATTTCTTTATATGTTTTATTTTAAATTGGTTGCCAGTGCTTTAAATGAAACTCCACAATGCCCGAGATTCTTAGGAAATGTGTAGCACTGGTACCACTTCCTGCAGGAGACTGGCTCTTCTGCTCACGGCAGATGTGTGTGGCTTTTACTATCAGGCTGCTATTTGAGTCTGCTGTCCTTGAACCATGGTCATCTAAGTGTATCCCTTTCTGTATATCATGAGAGTTTTAAAATTCCATAAAAACATTTGGTTGCTTGCTCCAGTTTGTAAGGTTTGTTTGAAAAATGATGTTTCATGTTTTATTTTTATGTTTTCTGACTTTGTCTCCGTCTCTGGGTTGATGAAGTCAGGTGACATGGAATGAAGATGACTCTTAATGTTATATAGGAAAGAATTATTTAAAGTATGTAGTAGAGAAAGAATATGGAATTGATTTAGTTGAGCAAGTTGTAAGATCTTTGTGGACAATAGTATACACTAGAGATGGAACTCTGTGTGTGTCAACTGCCTGCAGAGATGATGTGAGAAGCACCCTAAATAAATGACCCAGATTTGACTTTCCATTCTTCTTTGTCAGTCATAATGGCCTTGAACAAATTACTTAAAACCCATGGGCATATTTCCACTTTAGCAAAAATATCTCTAGTAGCTCTTCTTCCACTCTGGCTACTAGTATTTTTTTTTTCAGTTTAAAACGGCAATTTTTAATGGAACTTGTCACAAATATATAAATAGGCTAATTAAATGTCTAATCAGTATTGGCTATGAGTATGAAATGAGATATGAAATATTTCTTGGCTATGGAAATAATTTTAAAATATGAAATTTTCGCTAAGTGTGCTTCCATTTATTTATTTATGGATGAGACTGTGCAGGACCCATGCCACTTCATGGAAAGGCAGAGCTGGAACTCAAGCCTTGTGAGTCTTGGTCAGTAGAATTCTAACTGAAGTGTTGTTCCTACTGTACCTAAGGATGATTGAAAGATTAAGGAGACAAAGTATTTCCCCGAAGATGGAATAAATCAGCAATCCAGTAAATGCGTTCCAGTTATTATAGCAATGACTATATTGTGATCACCCTAGTACAGAAAAAATAATCAAGGAAGAGAAGAAAATGAATTTTTCACTTATAAAAAAGCCTTCCTTTAAAAATATTTATATTTAATAAGATGCATAGATTATAAACTTTGGTTTGGGGCTCATATTCATGAAATTCTGCCGTTGGTGTCTAGATAAACCGTCTTTGTTTTTGTCTTAAGAAATAGTCCCTTTTGGCCTCATTTATATGAAGCAGATGAATGCTTTTAAAATGAACTTTATCTGAGCTCGGACCTCTGGAGTTTTGGAGGCAGAATGAGGTACTGAAAATCAGACCTTTATGGAAACTGCACCTTTCATATACATTGTGGCCCTGGGTAAGTTACTCTGAGTCTCACTCTTCTCATGGGTAAAGTGGAGATTCTACTTCCCATGGCGAATGCCAAAAAAATGCACATTCCGCTGGTGGGTGGAGTTTGCAGCTGGGTCTTGAAGTTTATCTCGTCTGGGTCCTCCAGTGTACAAATAAAGTGAATTGTAAGCGCCAAATTAATAAAGAGGGTAAGGTACTCTTATTCCTTTGAGTCTTACATACTTGTACAAAGAGGTCTTCTTTAGAAGATCATAAATATGAAGAATGCTTCACAAAAATAAAATTATATCCTGCATATTTCTGGCAATACAATTTTAGAAATGAGAATATATATGTAACAAAACTTTATAGTGTTGTCAAATTGTATCAAAAACATACTGGGGAAATTTATGCAAATATTTGAATATAATCCTAAGTTACTAAGAGAAAATATATTATTTTATCACATAGGAAGTACCATAAAATCCAAATATAAGATTATCTGGAGTACATGAGGCCACAATTTTCTAATAAGTGAAGGCACCAATTACAAAGCAGGCTCTATTCCGTGAAACTTATCCTTGTTCATACAGGACTGAGAATAACAATGTGTCACAATTAGATGTAAACATAGAAAACACGAAAATTCTTTTTTTTTTTTTCTTTTAGCCTTCAAAAGGTGAATTGATTTTATGGAAAAATTGGTGCAGATCTTCCCTGGCAAGTAGCCGGGACATAGATGTGTAGACTCTTCCCCAAGACAAGGCACTGCTTAGAACCTGCTCTTTGAAGAAATGATAGCTCAAAGCATTTAGAATATAGTGTTGGAGCCTGACCCCATCCCTGTCGCTCTCCTCAAGGCATGATGAGAGGACTAAAAAACTTTGAAAACACCACTGTTAATTTAAAAACAAGTTTTTTCTAGTGCCAGCGTGTGTGTGTGTGTGTGTGTGTGTGTGTGTGTGTGTGTGTATGCTAGGACTCCAGGAATTCTTACTGTCTGCACTGAGGCCACCGAGCTGCCCCTTTTGCCTGCTACCTCACCGCCCGGTCCCTTGCTGCAGTAGCTTGTCAGTGGCTTTAACTAGAAGGCTAAATGAGGACATTCTGCTTTAAATGTATTTCTTTAAAATTTTCCTGGCTATAAATTAGTTTGAGTATGACATTTTTTGTTGTATGTTTGTTTGTATTTTTGACACAGAACTTCACTACGCAGTTCAGGCGGGCCTTGAACTCATTTTGTAGCTCAGGCTGGCCTCCAACTTGCCACAATTCTCCTGCCTCAGCCTCCTGAGTGCTAGAATTACTGGCATGCAACACCATACCCAACCAGAGTATAACATTTGTTTTACCCATTTAAAACCAGTTACAGAATAACACTTTGTGAATGAAAGTGCTTTTTTGAAGCAATGTAAATATTGGTACTAGAAGAATATGAGAGGATGAGTGGAAAGAGAGAAGACAATATAACCCTTTGTGCTTATACTTTTGGTCACGAAGATTAGCAATCCTAAAATATATCATAAGCTTTTTGGATGAAATGGGCTTTATGGGATTATTTAGAATCAAATAATATAATATATTCCAAAGTAAAAAATATAGACATGCTGAGTAATTAGACAAGGTCTTAATTTATTTAAGGATATTTTCTATGCCACCTATGAAAGAAAATAAAGATCCAGCCTGCAATGTTCAATCAGATGGAATGGTGGCAAATTTTATCTCCTTATAAAAAGTCTCCCGTGCACATTTGGAAAGCTAGCTATCCAATGTCATATAATGTTGCATCCTAATTTAAATGTTTATTTGGAATGGTATTCAAGGTTTTGCTTACTTATTTTTATAGCATGCAGCAAAAGATGAAGATAATGAGACTGAAGCCAGCAGGATGAGTAAATTAAGAAGGACAAGAAAGAAAGTCAGCAAAACACATCTCTGTTCTACTCAAGTGGAAGAAATGAATGCATCGGATTCAAACGGTATCTAACTACTTGGATCTCAAATATGGTGTGGTCAGTGATGATCTTTAGTTGGTATTTTTTTCCCCATACTTACTTGCTTCTTTCTTTGGGAGAAGCAGAAGAACAATAAAGTGGAATTTACTGCCACATAAGTGACATAAAAGACAAGTATGTAATATAACTACGTAAATCTTCAAATAAAGATCAAACTATTCAGAATTTAAGGATGGTGAGAACTAGGATGATTGTAATGAGTAAACAAGAAAAAGAATGAAGCAAAGAACAAAAGTAAGTATGTAGAGAATCATACTGCTGAGGTGAGAAGGAATCCAGAGATTTTTACTGAGGATTTGGAAGGCAGAAAACAAGAAACAGATGCAATCAGCTTTCTTAGCTCGTGCTGTGATTCTAGCCAGGCTACAGCAGGTTTGAATTAGTGCCGAATCTGGGTGTTAACTTGGATGACAGCAGTCTCAGTGGTAGGAGCAGTGGTGTCCCAAGGCAGAGGCGGGAGGACTACAGCGCATGGGGACAATAAAGAGCAGGCAGACTTTTCCTAAGGTTTAGGATGTGTGGCAATGGTAGACCACTCTCAGTGTTCCTCATTTGACCCGTCACTACCATTTTCTCAAGTGTTCCCCCGCCTTCTCTTTCTCTGCTTTCAGGCCTTGTGTAGGACCTGGTATGAGCTAGGCAAGCTCTCATCCACTGAGTCGAACCTCCCATTCTCTCCATATCACATAAGAGATGACATTGAAAACAATGGCAGCATGTTTTAATATTTTCCTTTATTGCTACAGAGAGGACTGGAAACCAAATGGTGTGCCACGCACCAGGAGACATGAGCAAACCTACTGAATCTCATCTATCACACAATGACAAGGACTCCCAGGATCAAACTACAGTGATAAAAGCACCACCTCCTAAAACAGCAACCAGTGTTCTAGTTGGTGAATCTAACTCAAACTCTGGTAAGGATTAACTGCTAAACTTTCTAGAACAAATGGGCGTATGGTTCTGGCCAGTAATTCCAAATTCATGTTGGAAGTAATGTGATCTTGGCTGAGGAATGCTAGCCTGTGGTAATGCAAAATAATTTCTAAATCTGTCATTTTCAAAGTGCATTGCAGTTTTCTTTACCCTCTAGGCTGCTTATCTGAAAAGTATAGGCATTGTAGAGGAAGAACTCTGAAGTCCCTCCTCTCTCTCCCTCTTTCACTTCCTTCTTTCATTTGTACTTGGGATTGAATCTAGGGCCTTCTTTCCTTCCTTCCTTCCTTGCTTCCTTCCTTCCTTCCTTCCTTCTCTCTCTCTCTCATATTATATTTTGAGATGAGATCTCTCTGGGCTGGAATTTGTGCTTTTTCAGTGTACTGGGATTCCAGGCATGCATACCCATGCCTCGCTTCAAGTCTTTTCTAAAAGCAAAATTGAATTGTCTTCTTCTAAGTCTCTGGGTTACTGGTAGTGCTATAACTATTTTGGTACATGAAGTGTATTGGTCAGAACTCTCTTGGATAGTAGATAAAAGCATAAACATAGAAATATAAAAATCAACAAATAAAATGTGTTTATGAAATTTTGATAAGGTATTTTTTTCTTTATGCTAAGTACTTTGAATTTTTTAAAAAAACAATACATTTTTTTCAAAGTTAAGCCTCTGTTCACACTCTCCCTACACTATTGTTATGGCTGTTTTTCAAGCATTGTACCTGCTTATTGTTCTACCTAACCTTCTACACTGTGGGCTAAGGTGATATGGCCAAGGGCAGGGTCATGCTGGTACTTGTGGAGTAGTCTCCCTGCAGCTCTGTGGTGAAGTGCTGCATGCCCTTGGGAAAGACCATGGCCTACACAAAAGCCTAATATACCACAGTGTACACTCAGTAACATATTTTCCATTAAAACATGGTTTTTCTGAAAGCCCAATTGTCTTTTATTTTTTGTTGTTGTTGCTGAGGACAAAATACCCTCCACCCAAAGTTAAATGAGGAAAGTTTTATTTATCTCACACTTTGTAGAGGTTTCAGTCCATAATCAGCTGGCTTCAAGGGAGGGTGGCATGGCAGGCAGGCCTTGCGGAAGAGAGACAGCTCATGGCAGGTAGAAGGTAGCAAAACATGCAAGGGATGACCATAGCACTTTCTATCCTTTATAACTTATCTAGGTTATTTATGGTGGGTGGTGCTCACACTTTAATCCTAGTACCTTTAAAACTAGTATTGCACCATGAATCAACTCTAGTATCACACACTCTAGATCCAGCCATGTCTGAAAAACCCCATTTATTACTGTATGAGGATTTAGGGAAACATCTAGACACAAGCTGTAACATTTCATATCTGGCCCCTTAAAGACTCATACACAAACCTTTATGCAACACGTGTTTAGCCCATCGCCAAGAGTTGCCATAGTTCTTTTTTTTTTTTTAAATTTTATTTAAGGAGAAAAAAGAAAAAAGAAACAGAAAAAGGGTACAAATTATACAGAATTTCAGAAAAAAATAAACAGGAAATCACTAGTGAATAGATTACATATTGTCATCTTAGAAATCGTTGTTCAAGTTACAAAATTAAAGCAATATAGAGTGGACATTCAAACAGTAAGACTGCAAACAGTTCTGTTCAATGATCCAATAAAGCTCAGTAATATGGTTACCTATCTTATACACTTAAATATACATGTAGTTATGTCCTTTAGAGCACTTTCTTTTCCTCTCTTTTGTACAATGACAATTACACATTTTGGGTTTTATTACTCCCACAGTTCTTATTACTTTTTTTTGAAGAGAGTAAAACCAAATGTGACATAACAGGACAGAGTTAGTCAAATCAAAAGGATGGACATAATACATAGTGTAAAAACAAAATACAAGGTGATCAACAATGGTTACCATAATGCCTCTTGCTATCTTAAAAAGAATTGCCTATATCATCAGTTATAATAAAATTGAACAAAACAGTTAAGAAAACCAATAAAACCAAAGCATTGGAGACATTAGAGGACTTCAAAAGAAGATAATAGTCAACCAGAATAGGCGTCATACTGAATCTTATTGTCTTCATAGTTGTTACCTATACTTTCAAACTTGGTACTATCAAACAAAACAGAATAGAGGAAAATCAGTCAAAACAAGATGGTGAGAGCAATATAGGGTTTCAAATCAAGTTAATAGGAAATCAAAGTGGGTTACTATAATATATCCTGCTATTTTTTATTTATTTTTTCCCTTAATTAAAAGGATAAAAATGAAAAAGTAAATAATAAAAAAAGGAGATTGAGATAAAAGAGGGCATAACAACAAAACAGCGCAGGTTAAAACATAACCATTTAAGCAAAATAGTGTTTCACCACAAGATAATCCCGACATAAAAGTAGTTACCATAGTAAGATTTCCTTGAAATCTTTGAGTATAACTTCGTATACTGTAACATCAAACATATCAAGACAATGTATCACTACTTTTCAGCAACCAATTTTTCCTCTGGTTAATCTTTACAGGCTGTAACTTTACTGGAGCTTCCTTTTTGGTCAAACTCAAAACATTTTAGATCATTCTAGTGGGCTCTTTGCTCTTGATTCTCAACATAAATCTGGCTAAAAGCCCCCAACAATAACCATGCCTAACATTGGACTGCCTTGAAATTTCTTCAACCAGATTAATTGGTTCATCATCCTTAATCTTAATCTCAGGCAGAGTCTCTGGACATGAGCAAGATGTAGACAAACTTTCTGCAAAGGCATAACATACATCATCTGAAATCCAACAGCCAATGCAGTCCTTCTTCCAAGCAGAAAACTCCTGAGCCTGGTCTTTACTGGCATAATTTCTGTCAGAATTCTGGTCTTCTGGTCTCTGACCAAAATCTCCCATCCAGTACAGCCTAAGGTATTCCAGATCTACTTTTTCAGCTGCCATCTTAGAACCTTTCCAAATTCTTTCCACAACCAGTCTCAAAGGCTCCTAAATCACATGGTCAGGCACAGTCAGAGCAACAACTTCACTTCGCTGGTACCTAATTCTGTCTTAGTTACTTGGTGCTTATTGTCTTACTCTAACACACAAAGTTAACTGAGGAAAAGCTCACAGTTTGTGAAGGTTTCAGTTCATAATCAGCTGACTCTCAGGCAGGGTGACATGGTAGACAGGTGTAACAGAAGAGAAATAGTTCATAGTGGGCAGATGGCAGCAAAACAGCAAGGGGTGACCATAGCTCTTGCTTATCCAAGTTACTTGTATTTTATATCTTATCCAGTTACATAGGGCAGGTAGCACTCCTATTCTTAACCCTAGTGCCCTCAAATCTAGCATTTTATTATGAATCAATTCCAGTGCCACACTTGAGATACAGCCACCTTGAGAAAGCCCACCTATGACTGCACGAAGTTTTAGGAGGACATCTGCACACAAGCCAAACACCAACTGTCAATCAGCCTGCTTTTCATAAGTGGCCATGGCTTGTTCTCTGTAATAGAAATACATCCTCATTGTCACTAAACACAGACATTTCCCAAGACCCTTTAATTGCCATAGATCTTTGAGATTTTTTAATGTTTTCTTATTTTTTCTCTCTAAACACAGCAGTAAAACTTCCTCTACAAAGGCACATTGATTTAATGTATTAATCTTCTGAGGAGATAGGACAGGGGAATACCTCTCAGGAATCACACTGTACAAAAAACAAACGGAGCCTTGAACTGGTGATTATCTGCCTGCGGTTCATCATGTGTGGCTAAAGGAGGCTGACCAAAAGGTTTAATTGTAGGCAATGAGTGTGATTTACTTGAAACAAACATTTATTTCAAACAATGATATAGCAAGATCAGTTGATCACTTGGAAATGAAATTAGATTGGATAGGATTTTGATAATGTTGAATTGAAATTTTAAATGAAATATTTGATACTAAGGATGCATTTTAAAATAAATGGTGCAGAATTTTACTTATTAATTAGACAAGATCAAACTACAAAGGAGAGATGAACTCAAGTACTTGTCCACCCATGTAATAATAAAGCAGTGTTTGTTGAATGCCAATCATTGGCCAGTACTGATACAGACACCGAGGAAAGAACAACAAATCAAAGTAAGCCCCTGTTCCTTGGGGTCAAGAAGCAAATGCAGGGTAACAGACAGGAGACAGGATGGTACAACATGACACGCAGTAGGTCATACATGGAAACAGAAAACAATGAATAAAATGAAAATGAATGACACACGCTCCCTGGCTGCAACATTGTTAGGGTACAGTACTACCTGAGGGACCTCAGCATGTGACTGAATTTGGAGACAGGGTCTTGAAAGACCTAGTTAAGGGGAAATGAGGTAATTAGGATGGGTTCTAAGCCAGTGCAACTGGTATCCTCCCAAGAGGACATCAGGACAGATGCACAAAGGGACAGTTGTGCAAATATATCAGAAGATGATCCAGCCAATAAGGGTGGCCTCAGAAGCTACAGGCCCTGACACCTTTCATCTTCAACTTCCGGTGTTTAAAACAGTGGGAAGAGAAGTTTCTGTCTCAGTCTCACAGTTAGGGGGATTAGTTACGGCAACCCCAGAAAACTGATAATTATTTCCATGGCTTGATCAACTTACGGGTATTAAAATGAATCAGGAATTGGACCTGGTTACACTGCCACGAAGTCTCACAAGTTTAATATTCTGTCTTGTAAAATTATTCCAATTTTGCATTTGATAGTGTGTATTTTGCCTATAGTTTCTTACACAGTAATTTAATGTTTTATGAATGCAGGAATTTTTCTGGTTACTTTCTAGGTACACATCCTGTATTAAGAATAGACAGTGATAAAAAATTTGTTTTGAATTGGTGAATATTTGTACTTTAGAATAATATAGTAATATGCATATCTTTGCAGAAAATTTAGAAGATACGATATGGGAAATAACTAGTAAGATTACCTGTCATACTAGTGAACCAATAAAATTACCATTTTTCTTTTATAGGAGAGGCCTTCTTTACGGTTTATACAGAATTGCTTATATGTTTAGAATACCATCATTTGAAAATTTGCATATTATAGAATGCTCATAGATTGTATTTTATTTAAGGAGCATTATTCAGGATGGGCCAAATATCCAATATTTCAGAATAGCTTGGGAACACCAAAACTGCTAATTTAGCATGAAACATTGTAATCGCTATGGCTTAACTATTCATGTTGAATGGAAGGGAGGTATAAAGGCTTAGGAATCTCAGAGTAGCCACGCATGTCAGCGAGAGGACATGTTATCCTGTTGGAAGAAGCAGTAATTTGTTTTTCTCATGCTTCACGTATTTAAGATCTATCTTATCTATGTTTTTAAGCTGTCAATCTTTATGCTCATGCTTAAAGCCTAGTTATATCTGGAAACAGGATACTCAGGAATCATTCAAATGGTGGCTGTTCAGTGTCGGATGTGACAGATGGTGTTCACGCAGAACTGATGGAGGAGCGCTTTCCAGGGTTAGAGTGAGCTGTCTTACGTTGTGTTCACTGTCTGCCAGCAGCTGAGGGGTGATGTGTCACAAGCCTGTGTAGTAGTTGCTGTTCTTTCATTGGGAAAGCAGCAAAGACAGGGTGAGGAAGTTGCCGGGCAAAGGCAGTATGAAAGGACAGCATACTCTTCCTCTGTGCTGCTGTGCTATAACTCTCAGAGGCTCCAGAAGTTAACATTTACGACGTGAGTTCTGCGCCTGGGCTTCCTACGTGCTAGCAGATGTGCTCATTCGTTTCGTGATCATGAACCCCCTCCATCCTCCCCACCAAGAGCCCGGAAGCCTGGTCCCTAGTTTCCAGCTCCACAGCGAACCCAGTGATGTGAGGTACCTCTTTGGGTCTCAAGCTGATGAACTGGTTACATAAGGTGATTTATCTCCAGTTTTAGAATTTGCAGACTAATTTAAAAGTCTTGAAAAGGATGTTTTATTCATTTCTGACTTTAAGAGTATACACATGAAACTTTTAATTTCTCCTAGGTGTTTGTTTGTTTTTGTTTCAGGAATGAAACTCAGAGCCTTGTATGCTTGCCAGGCAGGCACTGTGCCAATGAGCTACACCCTCGGGTTCTACACTCTCATTCTTAAAAAGAACACCAACCGTTATGCAATGTGCTGTAATTTCCAGAAGTGAAGGAATGTTCAGGAAGTACCCACACATGATGTTGGTACATCCTTATGTGAGCTACGTTGACTTAACGTAGTCCTAGGGGTAAACGGTTTCCCAGGCTGGTCTGATGCAGTGTTTTTGGGAAGATGGCAAAGGCCGTGAGGGAAAGCTAAGATGTCCACGTGGTGTGAAGATTCCCATGATGCATGCGGATGAGTTCTGCTAATGGCCATAATGACTCCTTCCCTAGGCTCAAGTCTCCTTTGGCTTGTCAGTAATCCTAATTGTGACTTAGAACACCCTTTATTTTATAGATCATGCTGGGAACAGCACTCAGATTTTGACTCCACCTCAACTTTCTTCTAAAATGAAGCATATTAAGCAAGAGATGGCCAAAAATCACCTTCAGTTTGTGCGTTTTGAAGCGACAGACCTACATGGTGTGTCTAGATCCAAGACCATCCCCGCATACTTCTTCCAAGTGAGTTTTGTGTACAGTTATAACTGAATGTAATTTCATGACCATTAGCAAGCGAATGATCCTTATTATTTGTCCTTATTTCCTTGTAATCTATGCAACAATTCAAGCTGAAAACAATACTTCATCTTATATTTCCCCTTGTCTCTCTCTATTGTTCTCCAAGGAGCTTAACATATCCTCTCAGCTCTCACACAATAATTCCTGTACCTAATAGAAATAGAAAACCAATTAAGACCAGTAATTTTAGCCCTCCTGCCTTGAATAATTTCCCTCCACAGAAGTATCTTCTCTTCTAATTGCAATTATGAAGATTACATTTTATTTGACATGAGAAAATTGCAACAGGAGACCCAAGAGCAAATATGAAAGGGAAACATGATTAAATAGAAAGAATTTGCTAGATAAAAAAATCTATCCCTGTCAGCTCTAATTCTGATAAGAAAGTACTATATTGTTACTGGATGACTTAATGAATATTAAGTTCCTGAAAATAATGATATCAAGAAGCATTTCATTTTGCCATGCTTTAAGACTTGCTAAGATTTTAGAGGGGGTCAGTTTGTGGATTTATTTTAAAGACTGATTTGTTGTGATACTTAAAAATCAGGTTTTAGGAAGGGATATTGGTCAGCACTATTTAAGAATGTATAAAAATTAAGCATTCTTGAAACTTAACTACTTTTAGAATGTCTTACACTTATCATTGTAATATCAAACTGTAATTTTTCTTACTTGTTTCTATGGGAGGAAGCAGAGTATCTCAAAGAAACTTTTTGAAGGGTTCTAACTTGTTTACATTTGTTTCTAAGCCATTTTTTTGGATTTGACTATAGATAGTTTTCCTTCGTCATTCAGTGAAGAACACATGGCCATTAATTCTGATAACAGAGATGAACTTTACTGTGGATTGGTCTAGAAGACAATTCTCAGGAACCTCTCTGGATCAATAAGGATGCATACAGTCCCTGAAATTCATGTACTGCCAGAGACTCGATGTAAAAATATCATAAGGCCTTTTTTCAAATCCTAATAATTTATTTCACTGATGATATTGCTTCAGTTCCTCTGTGGAACATCTTTACAAAATATAACCTCACATCCTGTCTATATATGCTGAAAACTGATGTAATTTTTTTTTTTGCCGGGTAGTCCCACTATGTAGTTGAGACTGGCCTTGAACCCCTGGCCAGCCTGCTGCCTCTGCCTCCTGAGTGTTGGCTTTACAGGTCTGTGCCACCATACTGGGCTCTTTTGTTGTTGTTGTTGTTTTGTTTTTGAAGATTGAAATAATTAACATAAAAAGAAAATTTCTGCATTTTCAAATTGTCATTCAAAATATTTTCCATTAAATAGTTTAACAGCCATTATATCAGAACTCCCTCCTCTTTTATTCTTTCTGGAGTTGAGCTAGGAAAAAGTTTGTTTAGCATGGAATTTTGATATACTCATCACATACCCCTTAATTGATATGTTTATTCTTTTTTTTTTTTTTTTTTTTTTGGTACCAGGCGCTTGCAAAGTAGGCACTTATGCTGCTGAGCTAAATCCCTGGCCCTGTATGTTTATTCTTGTCTTCATTTTTTTAATAACTCACTTTCTCATTTCATGACCTAGTTATTTCATTCTCATTTAATATATACTTTTTAAAAATTATTTTTTATTTTAAAAACAAAGAATAAAAACAATGATACAGAATTTCAAAACAGATTAATAGGAAATTAACATTGGTTAGTATATTGTATATTGTTATCTTAGAAGTAGTTGTTCAGATTACAAGATGTAGGCATAAAAATGATCAAACAAACAATGAAAGCACAAACTCCTTTTTGATGAACTGACAAAGATTAGTAGTACAGTTATTTATCATATACACACATATATGTGAATATATATGCAAACATACAATCTTTCCCCTTCTTTTTTATCTCCTTTCTCCTATACCAGTTGTTCTTCCCTTTTGAGCAGTTTCTTTCCCTTTTACGTTTACAATATTTATTGTACATTTTGGATCTTATTTACTCTTTCAGTTTTCTCCACTAGGGAGACTATCTGGTATTTACAAATGTGAGTCTAATTTATTTCGCTTATGAGTATGGTCTCAAGTTGTCTCCATTTACCTGTAAAAGTCTCAAATTTATCTTTCTTTATAGATGAGTAATACTCCATTGTATAAAAATACCACATCTCTTTTTTTATCCATTCTGTGATACTTTTAACAAAACAGTTTAAATTCATTTGAGAATGTTTAAAGGTACAAATCCTAATGAATATATGTACCTTGAATATTTGCAATTTAAGATTAAATCACCTTGGGGGAAGGTTTACAGTGACCAGGCATTAGAAGCAGCTTCATCTGTGCCAGCTCAGCGTGTGCTTTGTCTACACAAATAATTCTAGATGGGAAACTCGTTAGACTAAGTGAGGAGTCCATCGTCTGAGTCTGCCTGGGGCTTAGCAAACAGTAATTTAGATCTTTATAAAATAATTCTGAAACTTTTTGGTAGGAAATAAAATGTCGACTTGGCCATTATCAGATTAGCCCGTGGGGTCGGAGGAGAGACCGTCCTTCTCCTCGCATCCTGCGCTGGGGAGGCAGGGACGGCTCGGAGAGCGAGGGGGAGCCGGATCTGAGCCTCATCCTCGCTCTGCTGCGCCCACCGCCTCTGCCTTCGCTTTGATTATTTCTTTGAGCTAAGTGTCATCCTTACTAGATTAAAAATATACATTGGGTAGAGGGAGCAGGCTCTGTATATTGAACCAGGCCTTGCACCCAGATCTTTTCTATTTTAGCTTGAGACAGGGTCTTGCTAAGTCATTAAACTTCCCGGACTGGGTTTAAACTTGTGATCTTCTTGCCTCAGCCTTTCAGAGTGCTGAGATGATGGGTATGTAGCACTGTGAAATAATTGATTTTAAAAAAATATTTAGTGAAAATAAAGAAGACTGCTTTATAATTGGTTAAAGCACGAGTAACCCATGATAATGTTTAAAAGAGCTTAGAAAATGTTAAATACTTACTGATATTAGCACATTTAAGTCTTTTGAAAAATTATTTTTTTTATTAATGATTATATTCATTGTGGCAAGCAGTACACATACACCATACATCGTAATTCTTTTGACTTTGCCCTTTCATTCTTTCTCTCTCCCTCATCTCTTGCCTACTTCCCATTTGCAAAGGATCTACCTTCTTGTTTTCTGTTGCCTATCTTTTACTGTGGTCTTTAAATTATTTACACTATGGCTTTCTCATGTAAAGAGCCCATGTGATATTTAATCTTCCATACTTCATTTGTTTCATTTAGCTCTGTCTCAAGATGCACCCACTTCCCACAAATGCTCATGCTCATCCCTTTTTATGGCAGCGTAGCAATCCATTGTATGTAAATGCCACATTTTTAATCCACTCATCTGTTGATGGACATATAGGCTACTTCCAAACCGGCTATTATAAGTAGTGCATTGAAATATTTCAACCAAATTATAGTCAGTCTTTTGTTCTTTTGTTTGTTTTTGTTTGAGACAGGGTCTCTATACTTCAGACTGTTTTTGAACTCATTGTATGGCTCAGGCTGGCCCTAAATTCATGGAGTGACCCTTCTGCTTTAGTTGCCTAAATGCTAGGATTATAGATGTGGACTACCATATTCATCAACACTGTCTTTGTTCTAGCCAAAGGGTACTTTTTATTTAAATTAAATAATGTGGGTTTTTTTTTGTTTTTGGTCTAATTGAAATATGATATGCTATTCAGAATTCAGAACTAATGTTTGGGTTATTTCAACAAGTAATCTTTATTGTGGTCCAAATTTCAGTTGTCATAAGGTTTTGAATTATTTTGCAAAAATTTTTATTGCATTTAGAGTGAGCTATATTGAGGTGTTGTACATCTATTGTCAGGAACCATAGATATCCTTCTGTACCTATATATTTTCTACAACTGATAGAGAGTAGTTTGTCCAAACAATAATAAAAAAATGACAGTACTAAAGAAGTATGCTTAAAAATATGGATCCAGTAAGCTAGAGATCAAGTTTAACTTTGCTTGTAGCTTTGGAGTGTGCAGAGGACTTTGGAATTAAAATAGAAACCAGCAGCTCCCTGTTCACAGTGATGGGAAGACAGTGCAGATTTAAACTGTGGGAACTGCAAATTTCATGGGTAAAATATCTGATCCCTCATTTCAGATACTTGTAGAATTAATATACAGGAGGGAAAGGACACAATTTCTTTTCTTTTCTTTTTTTTTTTTTTTGGTACCGGGGATCGAACTCACAACCTTGTGCTTGTCAGGCAGGCCCTACACCACTGAGCTAAATCCTCATCCCTTTTCTTTTCTTTTTTTTTTTTTTTAAGGACACAATTTCTTGCAGTGAGTATTTGAGTTAAAGAATTCCATACTGAGGTGCTTGCTCTGAGATCCCGTGGTGTGTGTGTACAAGTCCTTGAATAATTTGAAAAATTAAGTAGGCACCAAAACATGCTTGTCTCTTTCAACTTTATTGCTGATAAAAGCAAATGTGGCTGAGCCAGTCGATTGGGATTTGAAAGCATGTGCAGTGACTGTGGAAAAAGGAGGCAGTGGCTCCCGGGCACACTCAGGGACCCGCTCCTTCCCCTTCATCGGCGTCTGCTGTCCTGGTGGTGGTCAGGCTCTTTGGAGTCTGGGAACAGCGGAAGAAAACAGTTTGGATGGCAGAATGTTAGGGTGTTTTATTAACCTCATAAAGCTCACTAGCTTAATGAAAACCTCATTTTAAGGTCAGGGCCTCTTCTCTACACATTAACACAACCTTGAACACGTGAAGCTTTGTTGATATTCTATACAATTTCCAGAAATTATTTTATGTATCTCTTCAGTTTTATAATCTCATCACTTCCCGGTTTTGTGGTGCACAGCAAAAGTTAAATAAATGACCAAACCCACTGAAATTCATACGTATATGGCTAGAAAGTACCTTGGCAATGGTCTCATTGAAACTTCTATTTTATGGATAAGGAAACCAGGGTTCATACCCAGTGAGTCACCTAACTTCACATCTATTACTAAAAGCACAATGACTCTAGGTTAGATCTGTGGATAGATAGTTCACGCTGACTTGGAGGTCACAGTTTTTGGGAAACTGTAACTTTGGAGATACAGGTCCACAATCACAGACAAGTGCTTTGGGGCTCCGTGAGACTGTGAGGTAGCTAATTCGTAAGGACTGTGTAAGTGAGTCAAGAGAAGAGTGAAACTGCTGAAAGTCTGACCACAGTCAGCTTTCTGATGAAGACTGAGGAGAGTTTCTCTGCTGCAGAATTTTGAGAGCCAGTTCACACTGGAATTGAACAGAGGATGCCATAAGCACAAGCGTTCCAGCATCTCTTGATATGCTACGCATTTTTTGGACATGTACTCAGGAGTGAGAGAGCTGGGTGACAGGGCAGATCTATTTACTATGCTATTCACAGTGCTACAATATGAAATTAACCTAGATTCCCATCAGTGGATGAATGTACGAGGCAAACGTGTGTTTTCACAATGGAATATTGTTCAGTGAGAAGAAGAGAGATCCTATCACTCACAGCAACATGAGTGGGGCTGGAGGTCATCATGTTGTGTGATATAAATCAGACACAGCAAGACAAGTACCACAGATTTTCTCTCACGTTTGTATACTTAAGAAGGTTGGTCTAAATGTAGAATACTGATTAACAGAGGATGGGAAGGGGCATAGAGAGAGTTTGAATAACGGCCACCAAAACACAATCAGTGGTTAGGGCATTGTTGTGGTTCATTACTTTTTGTATATTTTATGAATAGCTAAGAGTTACGATTGAAGGTTCCAACATAAAGTGATGAAAAGGAGATTAATATGGTTTATGTCAGCTGGCCCGACCAAGTCTCATGCAATCATGGAGGGGTCTGAATCTAGCATTGCGATTGGTTCGTTGTCTAACCCTTGGATTGGTGGTGTGAATGCGATGCCTGCCCAGGAGTGGGGCCAGCATACAGTGTAAAGTGGAGGGGGTGGGAGAGTGTGTGTTTCTCTTTTTTGCTGCTGGTGCTTGCTGTTTGCTGCACTGTGAATAGCTGCTCTTCAGCCATGTCATTTTGCCTTGGAGCCAATTGAGTATGGACTGAAACTTCCAACCTGTAAGAAATAAATCTTCCCTCTCCTAACTTAGCAACTATACTATAAAATAAAAAGTACCTTACAAAATACCTTTGATTATGATGATTTCAAAGATTTTCACAAGGCTTTACTTTTGTCTTTTGCAATAAACAGGTTTTCTTAATCATTATATGTGCATTTATAAATGTTTTATAGCTGTTTTCACATCTAGGAGCATATAAAACCTTCTGGGCTTAAAGTACTCCTAGTTGATAAAAGTGCTTTTGGTGATTTTATTCTGAAACACTTCATTAACAAAGCTTTTTCTCTACACTTCTGTTTGCATTAGTTAATTTCTCCTTTTCCTTCTTTAGGAAAAAGTGATCCAGGGTGTTTTCATGCCCCGAGGCTACCTTGAATTGATCCCCAATCCTAAGGATGATGAAGTGAATCACATAAGAGCCACATGTTTTAACAGTGACATCGTCCTGATGCCGGAGCTGTCGACCTTCAGAGTGCTGCCCTGGGTGGAGAGAACGGCCCGGGTGATCTGTGACACCTTCACGGTGACTGGGGAGCCCCTGCTGACTTCCCCCAGGTACATGGCCAAGAGGCAGTTGAGCCAGCTGCAGGATGCAGGCTTTTCCCTGCTCTCAGCCTTCCTCTATGACTTCTGCATTTTTGGCGTGCCGGAAGTTATCAATTCAAAGACGGTGTCTTTTCCTGCTTCCACATTTCTGTTTAATCATGACCAGCCCTTCATGCAGGAACTCGTGGACGGCTTGTATCACACCGGGGCCACGGTAGAGAGCTTTTCCTCTTCTACGAGGCCCGGTCAGATGGAAATCTGTTTTCTGCCCGAATTTGGCATTACTTCAGCTGATAATGCATTTACTCTCCGAACAGGTGTCAAAGAAGTGGCCAGGAAATATAATTACATTGCCAGTTTCTTCGTTGAGACTGGCTTCTGCAATTCAGGTGTTTTGTCCCACAGTGTCTGGGACCTCAGTGGGAAGGAGAACTTGTTCTGTAGCGGCTCTGGGTCCGGGCAGCTCACGGTCCCCGGGAGGAAGTGGCTGGCAGGGCTTCTGAGACACTCTGCAGCTCTCAGCTGCCTGATGGCACCTGCTGTCAGCTGCCGTAAGCGCTACCATAAGGACAGCAAAGACCCGAAGCCCACCGTGCCTGCGACCTGGGGCTACAATGACAACAGCTGCGCTTTCAACATCAAAAGTCACGGTGGGAGGGGCACCCTGATAGAGAACAAGCTGGGCTCTGCCACCGCCAACCCCTACCTGGTGCTGGCTGCCACCGTGGCCGCCGGCCTGGACGGGCTGCAGAGCTGCGAGGATGCCGAGCTTGATCTCGGACCTGCCGACAGCACCGGGGTGTGCCAGCCGCCACTGGCCGAGATCCCCTTGAAACTAGAGGACGCCCTCGTGGCCCTGGAGGAGGACCAGTGTCTGCGACAGGCTCTGGGAGAGACTTTCATTCGGTATTTTGTTGCCATGAAGAAATATGAGCTGGAAAATGAAGAAACAGATGCAGAGAGAAATAAATTCTTGGAGTATTTTATTTAGAGTGAAACACTTAACTCTTCCTTTTGAGACATTGTTTTGACTTAAGCTGCTAATCTAGCAGCAGGAGAAGACTGAACTTTCCTAATTAACCACTGCTCTGCAAATGCTTACTCTCTTTTCTGTTGTCCTCATGGGATCTTTGTCAGGTGAACTGGGGTTGCTGAGAAGGTTCTGTAATGGATCTAAACAATAAAAGTCGTGGAGAAGCTTTAACGAGCACCTATCAGCCAGTTGTCGTTTTCTTGCTTCCTTGGTTGGGAGACATATCCAGGAATGCAGTTTTGGGACAATAAATATATTTGCATGTGAAAAAACGATTAAGCTTTAGAAAGGACAATGACTACAAAGGCAAAAATTTCAAATATAAACACAGTTTGTGACCTGGGGAAACAAACACGTTCCTGGAATCTTACCAATGGAGGCCTGGTGAGGACCTGGATTGCAAGCACCATCATGGTTTCCCAAATACATCGGGTCTTATAAAAATATGTCATAATCACAAGCAGCAGAAGTCTGCACACTTTTCTTTGCACGCTTCTCCACTAGCTCTTGAAATGCTCAAGGACTTCCAAGCTATGAAAGCCTCGAGAATCGAACCCCCAGTAAACAGAGAGCTGGGAATGATGAGATAAGATTTTGAAAGTGATCAGTCTTTTTAAGGCAGTGTCCTTTGTAGAAGTGCAACACATGGAGGGATGGGGGAGAGGCAGTCAGGGATGTGTGGGGTGGTGGGCACCTCCTCTTGGCTTCCTTCTTTGAAGCTGGACATTCCTCTAAACTGCTGGCCCTCTGCGGAGTGTGAGAACGGCTGCCCAACTGCCCAGGGCCTACTGAGCTGCCTGACTCGGTCCTGACATTACTCATTCTGCTGCCTACAGAGTTGAGGCTCCTCCAGAGAATGTTAAATGCTCCAGGCCTTTGTTTAAATGTGATAAAATTGCAACTATTACTAAAGTTTAGCATCTTTTGGGAACAAGTAGAAAACCCATTTGTTAGCACATGAAAACACTGATATACTGCTTAGGAGATTTACATTCAATTAAAATTGACTGTGGTCTCCATCTAGATGGCAAATGCACAAGCCAAACCACAGAGTTTGGCTCAGTTTTTCCTATTAAAATTCTTAGAATTTAGTGTGTTAAATCATGAAAGTCAGGCTGTCCTTCACTAATTGCTCTTTCCCCTTATGAGCAGAAGAAGTGTGTTTGGTAACAAAAGAATAAAATTCTAGAGTTGTTTAAAGGGTGGAGAGAAAGGTAGCCCAGGGCAGGTGGGGAAGGAGCCAAGGGTGTGGGGTCAGCAAGTTTTCACTCTTTTTCTGCTCCCAGTAATAAAATGGCAGTGTGTCAGAAGTGGAGCCACTGTGAAAAGCAGAAATGGTGCTTCTGAGCCTTCGCTGGGTTGAAGGCAGTCTCAGGATCAGGGCAGCCAACGCTGCCCCGGAGCACTGAGATTCAAGCTTGCAGAGCTGAGCTGCCCAGGAGGACGGGCAGGCACCTCCCCTCCCCTCTCCCATCTTCGCCTTCCTTGCCGATGACTGCCAGGAGAGTCCCACTAGAGGGACTTTGCAGAGCCGAGTTTGATTTGTCTACATTCTTTTCTACCTGAAAGAGAGAAAACAAACTTCTGTGTCTCTTATGATGCAACAACTTGACTCATTGCAGCAACATACCTTCTGTCTTGCTTGTGTATATGTGCATGTAAGTGTACAAACATGTTAGAGAAAGTGTGTGTGTGTGTGTGTGTGTGTGTGTGTGTGTGTGTGTGTAATATTTGCAGGATATGGGGATAAAGAATAAAAATAGAAGAACCAGTGAAAGACTTTCATTTCTACTTCTAGGGAGGAAAATCTGAGGTGCTCACAGGAAACCACTCATGCAAAAAACTGTATTCTCGGGGCTATGGATTTAGCTCAGTGGCATAAGTGCCTGCCTGTCAAGTACAGGGTTGTGAGTTCAATCCCAGTACCAAAAAAAAAAAAAAAACAAAAAAACAAACAAAAAACAAAACCAAAAAACAAACAACAACAACAACAACAACAAAAAACAACAACTGTATTCTCTCTCATCCTAAAAGAACTGTATGCACTATTCCATAGTTCATCGCACATCATGAAATGTGTTCAGTGCTTTCGGTTGGTTTTACCACAGTGAGTAAAATGTGCTGTAAAGATTCTGCTAATCACAGTGTTTGCAGCCTTTCTTTTTCCTTACACACTGTGACAGTTAACCTTAATTATGCCAACTTGATGGTTTAAGAAAAGCCCAGGAGATTAATAAAGTGCACTTCTGGGTGTGTGCAGGTGATCTGTGCAGGCATAGCATTGGGTACTATCTTAAGTCCTAACCTCTTTCTCTCCAGCTCTGTTCCCAAACTTCATGAAACAAGTAGCTTTCCTCTGCCGAGGCCTTCTGCCACGATATTTCTCTCTTAGAACCAGACAACCTTGGCCTCATCCCTCGAAAACCATGAGACAAGGTAAACTTTCAATTGGAACCATTGGGTCCTCCTTTCCAAAAGTAGGAAACTAACTAACACTCATATTAGTAGACTGTTTTTAAAAATACAACGATGCCAGTGTGAAGAAATAATGTAACTGTGGAAATTATTGTCAGTGTTGAGTGTATAGTAGTGAGTTGGCAGAGAGGGATTCAGTCATATATTACAAATCAGTTTACAGATTTCAGTTACTATTTGTGTGTGTTGATGGATATTGTTAGTCTTTAATGCAAGCCTAAATATTGACCAAGAAACTTTAGGGATAAGGAATAATTGGAACCTAATTAGATAACTGGTAAAGCTCAGTTATCTGTTTTTCTACTTCTTTTATCTATTTCCAATTTTCCTACTGATGAGGTGAATTTCTGCTAATGCTTCTATCTTCTTAATGTAAGTGAATAGGGCCAGACATTTATTAAATATTATTTATTGAGCGATTTGTGTGTGTTGTCTTCTGCCATAGTTTCAGGGGAAACCAAGACAAAGATAAAAAACAGACAATGAAAATGTTTTAGATTCGTGTATCTTAAGAAGAACAAAAAGTATCTTTTTTAGATCTGATACTAAAAGAACTACTTGGAAGACTTTATGGGCTTTGGAATCTCTTTAAAGAAATTGCTTTCTTATTTTCATTTACCATAATTGTTCTAATCAAAGCTTAGGGGAAAGTGTGACTACTGAATTTAAAGTTGGTTATGAAATGAGTACACATAAGAAATATAAATTAAAACCTATATTTTAAGACTAAAAACTAAAACAGCATCATCATAAGAAGTTGCTATTCTCAAGGGTATTTTATAATCTAAAATTTCCTATTTTAGTGTCTGAATAACAATAAAGTTTAAAATGATTTTGAAGGGAAGAAAAGATCTAAAAGCTTTGATATAGATAAACATTGAGATATGTAGTTACCTCTGAATTTACCACCGACACAGAACCATCCAGGCCCCTGTATAACATAGCAGACTGACCAAAGTGTGGATGATACAGGTTTTATTAGACAGCATCACCAACTCGGGCTCCCTATAGAAGGTTAGCATTTGCTTCTAACAGGACTTATGTGTGCAACTTCCATGGTGCAGCTGTCTTTATTATTTCCTATAATTAGTGGTTTACATTGCATTTCCTAATTAGAATGCTAGTTCCAAGGATGAAGGGCACACATCTTATTCATGTTTGTCATATTTTTTTATTCCTTTGCAGGTGTTTTCAAATGTAATACATGTTTGATGGAACCATGCATATGGTATAAGCATTATAGAGCACATAGCATATCCCCAGGGAGAGTGAGAAATAGAGATGTGCACAGCTGAGGGAATTAAGGATTTGAGGATTTTATTGGCCCTTATATTTCTGCCATCACATGGTTGTGTTCAAGGGCAGCTTCTACAAGCTCTTGAAAAGGCACAACTGAGTAGCTTGATGGGATCATAGTTAGAGGGCAGAGGAACATGTTAGCCACGGGGAAGCTTTCAAGAGCTTTCTTGTTTGTGGAATTCCTTCACTTTGGGCTCCCAAAATAGAAGTTAAGCATCATCTTTCTCTTGCAAACAAGATATAAGACTGCCAATCAGAGGCAGTCATGAAAACTCACATAAGCTTTATAGAAAATGACTGCATCTGGAGAGAGAGAGAGAGAGAGAGAGAGAGAGAGAGAGAGAGAGAGAGACAGAGAGACACAGAGAGAGACAGAGAGAAGGAAGGAAGGAAGGAAGGAAGGAAGGAAGAGAAAGGGCAAAATCAAGCTCCTTCTCCAGGCAAGCTGAAGGAGACAGCATGGTGGCATTACGTGCTGGCACCTGGGGCTGGCATCTTGGGGCTGGGTCGTTGGTGTCATCTGGCAGCGCTGGCTGTAAGGTTTCTCAGCAACCGTCAGGCAGAGCTTCTAGACCTGAATTTCTGGAGCTCTCAGATTCTACAAATTACCTAATATCTTTCAAATATTCCTTCTCACCCCCTAAACTCCATTGAAATACTCTTAGATACAATAAATAAATTCAGTAATGTGGCTGGATACAAAATCAATACTCAGAAATCAATAGCATTCCTATACATGAACAACAAAATTACAGAGAGGGAAATAAGAGAAACTGGACTAGTCACATTAGCAAGCAAAAAAATGAAATATTTAGGAATTACTCTTACGAAAGAAGTGAAAGACTTATACAGTGAAAATTATAATACACTGAAAAAGGAAATTGAAGATGATCTCAGAAAATGGAAAGACATCCCTTGCTCATGGATAGGAAGAACAAACATTGTGAAAATGGCCATTCTCCCAAAAATGTTATACAGATTCAATGCAATCCCAATAGAAATACCATCAACATACCTTATAGATCTAGAGAAATCACTCCTAAATTTCATCTGGAACCAGAAGAGACCTAGAATCTCAAAGGCAATTCTAAGCAGCAAAGACAAAGCAGGAGGCATCACAATCCCTGACTTGAAGTTATACTACAAAGCAACAGTAGTAAAATCAACATGGTATTGGAATCAAAACAGAGCTGAAGATCAGTGGAATAGATTAGAAGATACAACCACAACTACGAACACACTCAACCACCTTATTTTTGATAAAGGAGCCAAGCAGGTTCACTGGAAGAACGACAGTCTCTTTAATAAATGGTGCTGGAAAAACTGGCTCTCCATTTGCCGAAAACTAAAGCTAGACCCATGTCTATCACCATGTACTAAATTAAAATGTAAATGGGTCAAAGATCTGAA